CCTCAGAACACCTCAACCACACCCCTACGGTCTACAATTTCAGGCCAGAAGTTTGATCCAAACAATACCACGATTATTCAAGAAGGCTTTGGGAACTATAAGAAACGTCTCATAGCAAAATCTCCTCATGTAAAGTGGAAGCAGTGTCGTTTAGGCAGAAATGAGGGAATAAAATTTAGCTCTAACTGGCTTCGATCCACTGATATCCCAAACACTCACATGATCAGCTGACATGGGATTGGAATTATAGCCACATATGTACATGAAAACCTCAACCGGAAATTTACGCACTTACTACACCCACTCTAAAAGTTGTATCACCGTCTATTGTAAAAATTTGACACAGCAGAAAAAACCATGCAGAAAAACTTGAATTAGGCTATGTTTGAAAAGAGGAGGGATTTTTTATGTTCAGCTGGATTCTTGGCATTTTTTGTGCCCACACATCAAAGGCAGTTGTATATTTTGCCCCAATCAGAATATTATTCGATTAAAGTGGGACGGGAACTTTCACTGGGTGAATTTAGCGAATTTCTGTTGCTGCTGCTGCTGCTGCTGCTGATACTACTACTATAACCACCACCGCTACTACTACTGCTACTACTACTCACACTACCATTACTACTACCACTGACAGCTGTCAGCTACACTCTGAAGAGTGTCACCAGTTGATACCGTTGGTCCTTATTCTTCGAATGACTGAGCAGGAACTGCAGTATGCAATTTTACGCACTCTGCTCTGGGAATGGACGGACATGTAACATCAGTAAAGTGACTAGGCCGCCTGGTTGCGCTGCAAGTGGCAGTTTGCACCGATTATACCTGTAGGGGTGCGTGTTACAATTCTGTAACGTTTGATCAACCCTACTTGACTTGATGTGCTCTGGTACCTGCTTGACCAGTACTTTACCTAACCTGTAAGTACTGATAACAAAACACAAATCAAAAGAACTGATACGCTATGTATTTGAAGGAGCTATGTATTTAATTAGAGTAAATGTAATAATAATGAATGGGGGGGGGAAGTTTAATCAACTTATCTGGCTTGTAAGGCTGAACTAGGGACTCGGAGTACGTGTGTGGTAATCAGCATAGTGGAGCGCAAAATGGCGTCGAAGCCTGCTCGGATGCATGCTCGTTAAAACAAAACTTAAAATACCCTAAGCATCCGGAGGCAAGCTAGAGATTTATTTAGTTAATTTAATTTAAACTATTTGCTTTAGCCCTAGTTATATTTTGGTGCCAGGAAGGTGCGCTACATACTCATCCAGTGAAAGGTGTTCGTAGCGCAACTGAGGCTGTTTCGCTCTTGAAAGTCCCCACAGCAACCGTACATAAGCTAGTACTATCATGCTAATGTGCACTTTAGCTAAGGCTTGGTTCAATGATCTCATAACAGTGGGTACTGAGGGAAAAATCGACACAAGTTTCAATTTATAGTCGCATAAATCTCGGTGACTTGGAAGTAAAATAGTTCCAAGTTTTCACCCAACGGCATGGTTCACTCTTCTGCAAAGCAGCTTGTCTTACTCTTGTGTACATAAGGCATCTCGGTAGGATTTTAAACAATAAATAAGATATGAACGCAGATGATTTACTGTTTGTTAGGTATTGTAAAAGCAGAAGATATATTAGTGTGGTCGTCTACAAAAGATTTTAGAATGAAAAGAAATACGTTGTTCATTCAAAAACAGTAAAAGATGTTATGTGTAGTTTCAAGCTCATTGAATGAACTTCAAATACCGAGTAATCTTCAAAATCAAAATATCTTTTACATATCTTTGAATAAACAACCTCGGTTACGTTTCAGAAGCAGTGCTAGTCAGACTAGTAGGGAAAACATTGAAATTATATGTCTTAAACATACTGAATTTTATAGAGGTATGCCTTATATGCGTTTAATACTATCAGCGCTCAAAAAGTGCCTGGCGTGAGTGGAATTCAGTATCCATGTAAACGGACTTGGTTCCAGCCTTAGACCTAAAACTTTAACATGTTGAGGTTGGGCAAGTGGGATGTGGTGATCCTGAAAACCTGCAGACGGATAACAGCTGATCAAATCATGAAATGTCATGCTGTTGGTAACTTATCTAACGAAGAGGACATGGTTTCTGTGTTGCTGTTTGTATTATCTCGTTGCTGATTGGACCCGGATCGGGCGACTTCTATCGGCATATGGCTCCTACGCGGTCGCCTCGATATTGCCAGTCATTTCAATTTTATGGTAATGATGTATTGTGACCAGAAGGGGAATCCAGGACGGACGTCTCGTCCCATTTGGGACTTGTCAGTTGGATGTATCCGCCCCCCAGTGGGTGATGTTATTCCCACTAAGACTGTTACCCAGGACAGATAGCTTCAAACGCCAGAGTGTTGTCAGCTAGGCCATTGAGATATGACACCCACTTCTTGTGCCATGAGTATGGTTTATATGATGTTGCTTGTGTTAAACTATCGTTGGTTGGAGAGAAATGATCGGCCTCTATGCAAGAAACAACATAAAATTTATACCCTTCACACAAGAAGTGGCTGTCGTGACTCCATGACCTAGTGGAAAACGTTCCAGCGTTTGAAACGGTGAGTCCCCGGTTGCAGTCTTAGTAGGAACAACATCGCTCACTGGGAGGCAGTTACATTCAGCTGACAATTTCTAAGTAAGAAAGAATGCATATCTTGGATTCCGCTGCGAGTCACTATCCATCATTACTATGAAAAAAAGAGGACATGGGTCTGAACTTTTCCTGAAACCTAATCTAAAAAGGAATAGTTAACAAAGTAAACAGTAACTTGGACTTTATATTCAGAGACTTTGCAAACTGAACTGTCAAAGTACTACTATTGGCATAAAAGTTTGAAACCAAAAACTACTCATCATTTCACTTGAAATTTCAATTGATGCAATTGGTTTCAGTTTCTTATATAGATTTAAAGTGCATTATTGCATTTATTTTGAAGGTGATTCGTTCAGAAAATCAAGATTTTTGTTGAGTAGATTTATTTCATTAGACGCATTCTTATAGGTATAGTTATTTTCAATCACTTGTCTTAGAGGATTATTGTCAGTTGCAGTTATAGCTGAGTTAGTTACATTTTGTTGGTGACCTTTTTATGTACAAGATCTTTCTCTGCAATTTGGTCTATTTCAGTAGTGATTAATTGGTGCTTTCCTGCTACTTTCTCTTTTTAGGACAAGTCCGGGTTCAGATTTGGTATAGGCGTGTCTTTCAATATCTTTTACCTGACTACTTCATAAAGACTGGTCATTTCTGTCTGCTGATCGCCAACTCAGCACATCTACTCAGGTATTCTTTCTCCAGCTTTAAACCCATATGATTAAAAATTTCCAATTTTTCTCACTCACACTTGTGATTAGAACTATTGACAAACGAAAACAACGATGGTATGTCTAGGTATCTGACTGCTAACTAGTTTCAGTCAAAACATTGTGTTAACTGAATACGTGACTGTCAAACGGAATAGCAGTTACAGTTGATGTATTCATTCCTTTCAATTATTTTCGGTTTCTATTCTCAAGTGAGAAATTTATTGACTTGCGCAACATATTCTGAGGCGATTCGTTTGACTTGTAAGGTCTGTTTTCCATAATGGGTCTGAAAAGTCTACAAGCTGATTCTGAGAGAGCACGGGTTAAAGAGGGTACAATTCCAGTGTTTATTGGAGTTTGATCATTTTTATATTGGTTGCTTACGAATTATCTTAGAAGACAAACAACTAGAAACATTCAGTGTGATAAGATTCTGAAAGGAGTCAGTCAATCAAACAATAGCACAAGAATTCCCCTAACGAATCACTTTCAGACTCGGCATAATAATATAGTATAAATTCTTAGGCGAAACTGAAACCAATCAGTTTCTGTAAAAGTTTAAAAGAGGCGGTATATACAGTCTCAATAATATCTTCTCTAGCAGCAAAGTTAAGTGAAAACACATCCATCTAGATAAAAAATATAGTGTTCTTTGTGTGCATACCTCAAAATGCGTTTGTTCATTTCAGTTGCATTACGAATGACGTCAACTGAATACAACGTTTCTATTCATAATTCAAATTAGCCTTTTATTTCTTAATGTGTTTGTAAGTTATAACGATGTCCATTAGTCTAGGTGTTTTGGTGTTGTGTTTTTAGTCAACTCGTGTTTTTTACGCAAGTAATTAATTTAGAATTAGAATCAAATTTTAGTGATGTGAGACCAAAGTGAATTCAATAGACTGAACATCTTATCAATACTAGTGAACACTTAAATGATTCAACTGGCCAACAGCTGGATAAAACAAAGGTAGATAATCGTGGAGTTAATTTATTTGGTTATGGCTAGCAGAGGAATACAGGACGCGCGCTCCCCCCTATTCAGGAGTCGTAAACTGGACGCAACTGCCCTCCCAGGGAGTTTTTCTCCCCAGTGAGATTCGAACCTCGTACTCATCGCTTCAAAAGGGGAGTGTTATCCATTAAACCACTGAGGCACAAGACCCATCTCGATTCAGTAAAAAGAATGGAACATTACAAGCATATCAATAAATGGTAATCATGGAGTTACTCCATCCAACATGATTACACTTTTTTCATTGAATGATACAGTTCTAGCGACGAGAACAGTGAAAATCATTGTAGGAAATTTCTAACATTTTTCAAAAGTAGCTAAACTGCACTTCTAATTCAAAACTATCCACTGGTGTTAGGCGACTGAAAAATTAGACATGAATGAAAGTTTTCAGTTATTAAGTCAAATCTCTCCTACCACACTAAACTTTCATTCTTAATGTTCGAGAGTTTCTTTTTCTTTCATATCTAGTTACCTTCCTCATAGTCCAGTTGAAAATTTCAACTTACTGATTGAAAAAAAAGAGATAATTCTTATCAAAAGACATATTCTCCTTGTAAATGAATAATCATTTTCTTTAACGATAAGAATGGTCTTTAAATTTCATGTAATAATAATTAGGATGTCACATGTTTTCACATATTCGGGAACCAGACACACATGCCAATAAATGATGGAGCATGTTTTCGACTATAGTTTCCCATTGATGATGTTTCTGGATCGAGAAGGACCTGTAGAACAAGGGAAGACAAGTTTATACATCAATTACATATACATTTTTGAGTAAATTTTAATCAACATATAAAGACTAGGAAGGAAGTAAGTTGGGTCTAGGTGAGAACCATCGCTTGACGATATCAATTTAAATGCACTGAATGATCAAACTTCATACTTCAATGCATGATTTAACACCATCACCTACCCTGAAATCAGCTGAATAAATTTTAGTAGACCACACTGCCAACTGACGTATGTACATATGCAATAATTAGATCAGATTTGCTTACTGAATAAACAGTCAATAAAAAAAGATATCACAACTATGAAATATGCACGCGACATCTGATAGTCAGTCAAGGGTGATGAGAGAGAAGGTCATTAGGTAGCCAATAAATTTCTGACAGTGGTGATAAGGTTGCTTATCTTTTTGCCATGTTAGATAGGAAGGTTATTAGAAAATAGTTGACTGTAAAATCTTCAAACTTCCTTCTATCAAAAGGTTGTTATTAATTTCATAACATGAAGACAGCTTGGTTCTTATTGTTCGTTGTGTAATATTTAGACAACGAATATTCTTGTTAAACATCTCAATCATCATTTTGTCATTCAAAAACCTGTGGATTTTGAGATGTCTGTGATGACCTAATTTTTGGTATCTTTACAAGTGGTACTCAGTACAAATAAATTATGATTTTTTGAGTGCTCATTCTTGAATTTTCGTCCACCTGCTTAAATTTTCATTTCTTAAAGATTCTATATTTTTAATAGGTATCAGTTTCAACACTACTCATTAGTGGTTATCACTGAAATGTTAGATAAGTTTCCTGATAAGTGTAGTTGCCTGGAAATTCGTTTGAAAGTCAACTTCAACGTATACTATTACAACCATTGTTCATTTGATAACAGGTCATTTTAAAAAGCGTTGCTGTCTTAGTTAACTTACAAATAATTCATTTTGAGGTTAATGTGGATCTTATGTTTAAGGTAGCATTCATCAAGGACTGAAATCATTTAGAGAATCATTGAAAACCTGGGAGCACTGGACAGCCGTTTTGTCTTAGTCCGGGATTCCTCAGCAGTACGTTGGTGTTAGCCCTCAATAAATGCTACTTTAAACGAGATCCTCACTGACCTCAAAATATATTACTGTATAGTGCTCATTAGTGACAAGCTTCAGGATGGATATTTTGAAGTTTTAATGAGAAGCTGTTACCTGTGGAGTCAACCACTCTGAAGTGAAGCGGATGCCAGCTGAAGACCTTAAGTGTTAGTCGTGGTAACACGTTCTCTAAGAGTGCGTTTGTTAACTAAATCAACCGATTGTTCAACACTGTGACTGCTATAGTTCTGAATTTGAGTCAAATTGTAGTACTGGTTCTTGTACTGTGTCATGTACTTGAGAAAATTTATGTGAACATCTTGGTTCATGTAAGGAATTGATGCTTTTGCAATTGTAGTACACTGAATTACTTGAAGAATATTTCTTAGTGTTGTATAGTTGATCATTTGGATGAGTGTTACCTAAACTGAATCTTATCAACATTTATCTATGAGCCATTTGCTCTTTTGTGTACCACTTAGCTTAACTATGCTTCTAAATATTAATCGGTAATACGATCATCAAGCTAAATATTTTAAATAAAGAACAAATTTTCTACGTTGTTATCGTGTTTAAATAACAACACATTTCAGAAAAATGTCATCTGTTTAGCGTCGTAAAGAGGTATCTGCCGATCTTGTAACTGGATCATCTGACCGTATACTAAACCAGAGTTGGTTGATGAGATGGTTCGACATTGACAGGAACTGCAATCTAGATTAAACTAATCTAAGTTTGAATAACGCGATGACAACACTTTTACAAAAGGATGACTTCATTTCGTCTAGTTTGTTTCGAAACTACTAAAAATCCCACCCCTCATATGTTAAGGTGTAGACATAAAACTAAACTTATAATCAAACACTCATTGTATCAGTTACAGAAGCTTTTCTGAGTTTGTGCACTTGAATAATCTGTTAATCAGTAAGGTGAGTAATGAAAAGTTTAAATTTCATTTTTGTCAGCTAAACTACATTTCCAAATAACTATTACATAGCTAAGTGAAGTAATTATTCGCACCTAATATCATGATAGACCGCTAACTTGCACGTTGAGCTAATCTGAAGATATACACATGTTACGTTGTGTGAGTTCTCTAGATAAATACACTAAAAATCAGATCAACTTCATTTCAATCTCAAGAAAGTGAAGACGCAACCTACTGGACACAACATCAAGAAAAGGAGAAGATGTGGGTTCCCACCACTCACTATCTAGTGCAAAGGAACCTACTTTCAAAATCAAGTTGAAAACCTTCAAAGAAGTTGGTGATGGACCACAGTTCAAGTTGAACACCCAGAACAGAAAGTGAACTTAAGGATGAAACTACAAAGGATATCTTCACTTCAGTCAGTCATCAGGAAAACGTGGGAGATATCAAGCAACCTGTGTGGAAGAACACTGCGACTCCTAGAAATCGACTTGGAAAAAAAATCTGCATAACCTTGTTAGGGGGAGGAAGAAACAAGGCAAGGAATGGATCTCAACTGACACATTGAAGCTGATAGAGGAGAGGAGGATGATGAAGCAGGAGACAAACCGGTGCAAGGACGCACAACGAGAAGAGGAACTGAATACAACGTGTAAAACACTACACGGGACAAAGAAGTGAAGAAGAGTGCATGGAAAGACAAAATACACTTCTACGACACACTGGTAAGCGAAGCACAATAGGCTGTAGGTAAGTGAGACAGAGGTCTGGCGACATTATATCAAATAACCGGGTTACTATCTAGGAAGACATCAACGCGGATGAAACCAATGAGAGCGAGTGAAGGGAACTTAGTCGCCAGAGAGGGGAAACAAAGGCAACGATGGACTGACCACTTCAGAAAACTTGAATCGACCACTAATTCCACCACATGCAACTCGTCCAGAAATACCACCAGCAGCCCAGCCACACAACTATCACTGAACACAAGCTCTCTGACAAAAGCGAAAGCGTGGTCCTGGATGCCATGAGGTTGCTGAAATCCGAGGAAGCAGTAGGACCAGATGGAATTCCTCCAGAATCACTGAAAACGGATGCAGAGACAACAGCGAACATGCCCACACCAATGCAGTAGAGGGTTTGGAAGGTAGGAAGGAAGGATACCTGCCTATTGATTGGAGGAAGGGCTACCTTGTCAAACTTCTAAAGAAGGGCGACCTAAGTCTTTGCAAAACGTGGTGCGGAATCATACTCCACCACTGTCCACCCCAGGCAAAATATTAGACCATACGATCCTTAGGGGAGTAAAAGATGCTCGGGACTCAAATGGATAACGACCGGAACGGGCATGTTGGCAGATCTGGAGGCGAAAACCAACAAGTTGACGGAAGAGGCAAGGCTGTGAAGGAAGACGAGACTTCGTTCCGGCGAACGTAGAAAAGACAGAGGTGATGAAGATACCCAACCAACAATGACAACAACAACAGGCACCAACAAACACCATCAACGGGAGAAATCTAGAGGAAGTTATCTCTTCCACCCACCTAAGCAGCATCGTTCCAACTGCAGGTGGCGGCGGCGGTGGCGTGGATGAGGACGTCAAAGCCAGGATCAGAAAGTCAAGACAGGCCTTCATCAATCTGAAATCGGTGTGGAGACCTACTTTACTGTACTACATTCAGCATAAAAAAAACAAGATCCGGATTTTCAACACTAATTCAGTCAAGCCGGTGCTTCTGTGTAGTTGGGAGACTTAGTGCGTTACGAAAGGCGTTTCAAGTAAGCTGCAGATATATATCATCAACAGCTGCCCACGCTGGATGCTGGAGATCAGATGGCCAGAATAATAAGAATAAGCAACAAGGTACTCCGGCTGGCTGGCAACGAACCAACCAACCAGGAACCTGTAGGTCAACAAATGGGCAGAAGGAAGTTGAGATGGATTGGATTGGACATACACCGAGAAGAGCATTTGAAGACATCACGCACCGTGCCAGGCCCTCGAGTGGAACGCGAAGGGGAAACGGCAAGTTGGGCATCCCAGGACAGGGTGACGAGGAGGAGATGGTGTGAGGGGGAGATGAAAGGTTATGGGTAGTCGTGGAACGAGGCAAAATAGGTGAAAAGAAGAGGATGAAATGGCGACATGCTACTGAGGCCCCATATTCCACTAGGAACCGAAGGGTCAGATAACAATAGTAATAATAATAATAACAATAATAATAATAATAATATAGTGTGACAATAAAAACTCAGACGTTAGGTACAACTCACAAACCGATAAGGATCGATGATTATGGCATAGGCTTGACCATTGAAGATTAAGAGTCCATAAATCTAAGTAACACAGAGTTCTATAGCTTTGTACATAATGAATTCAAAAATTTACTATATAGAGTCAACAAAATCGAATGTGCCACGGAGATTATGGTTTAGCAGTCTGGTATTAACTTGGACTAGTAAAAGACTTTCAGTTTGACAGGCAAAATAATTAACTATATCTCTAACAGAGACTGTTACAAACGGTGGACTTGAGGGTGGAAGAGATGCTGAAATTTGCTTAGTGTATGGTTAAGTTAAAGGCTTATGATTTCATAATAAGTAAAGGAAAACTAGCCTAATGTGTTATCACTAGGTTTACTCAGTTGATCATGTCAAGATACAGTTTGCAGTTCCAGTAAACTAAACAAAAACTGTAGTACAGAGATATGGAGCAACTTGAAACTGGCTGTGTTCTCCGTTCAATTTATGAAAGAATGCTTCTCTTCAATCAGTGAGTCAGGGATTCATACCTCGCTCCGTCTGCCGGGGTTCGGGCAACCAAGTAGTATCACTAGCTATCACAAAATAGGTGTGGCTCATTGCTACTGTGCGAATGTGCACAAGGTTGCTGAGTACATTTTAACTTCATAGACTACCTAATTTAAAGCCACTCTTGCGCAATGTAATTTACTTTGAGAAGTAAAATAATTTGGCTACTA